CCTGACATTTAGTCTGATACATAAAAACATCCCTGGAAGAAAAGCCGGGGACCCACCTGCCATCCCAGAGTGGAGAGACAGAGTCACTGCTCCCTAGAAAAGTCACCAGAGGGCTAGGGATTTAGCTCAGTGGTTCTGGCACCTGCCACGCAAGCACAAGGTCCCAAGTTCAATTCCCAGTACAAAAAAAAAAAAGTCACCAGAAACTACCAACGTTCAACAAAGCAAGTAACAGCTCTCCACTGGCAGGTGGAAAATCAGATGCCCTGTCCTCATGGGCCACGTGATGGGAGCCTCAGAAACCCCTAGTTTATGCCGATGTGCAGCTAAGATGACCTTTGAAGTCATACCTTTCTTCTGCATAATTCTCCAAGAACTGCCTTGAAAAAAATCAAAATAACTCTCCACCTGAAAGCAATATCCTTCCATCTTTCAGTGTCAACTTTCAGTAATACAACTTGTAATTTAAAGTCTTGAAAGTAGAATAGGAATAGATCCATCCATTTAGAAAAATCTCAATCTTCAAACCTGCTCCACTGAATGGTCTGTGTGTAGTTAGAAATTATTTTCTTGTGGCCTTTAAAATGTTTGTTCCTTTTCTTTTCCTCCTCCCCTCTTCTATTTGCAATGCACATGCTGGATACAAAAAAGAAAAACCTCTTAGATTTTATAGCTTAAAAATATCAGAAGCTAAAGGAAGCTCCTTTTTAAAAGCCAAAGCCCTGAACTTTCCAAAAGGAACATTTGTCTCTTCTTTCCACTTCCCCTGCCAGTCTTCATATTGAAGAGTTGTGAATGAAGAGACAGTTCTTCTATGTCTGATCCCTGACAGTAGCTCATGGTATCTGGTAGTAGTTTTACAAAACACTGAGTCTGAGGCATAGAACAAATTCTTCCACTTCCCCTCCTAAACACCTAGTGCTATATGAAGACAGGAGAACTGGAAACAAGAAGGCGTCTTTCAGCCAACTTGTCTACCAAAGACACTGTAGACCGACAGAGATATTTTTCTCATTAAGTGAACACAGATGCAGTGACCTAGGAAGGTGGCCTGCATGTGCTGTGTACAACTCTCCACTAGACACCGATTTTCACACAAATGCTTCACCCATCCTACAACTCCCACGAGAGCAAAGAACAACTCTGATGGAAAAAATATTACGTTCTCCATCCTTTGGAGACAAAGCTCATAATGTCCATTTTTCTTACCCTTGGAGACTTGCTGGAATTCTCCAATGAGCACTGTAATATTCTGAAAACAAAATTAATTTTGATTCTTTTCAATTCAAAGGTACATCTGCGTTAAAGTTTTTTTAAATTAGCATACATGCCGTTCTGGGGAAAAATGGATGGGCAGTAATAAAAGTTTGATGCATAAGGATGAACATTTTGCTTTTGTATCCAAAATCTCAAAGTTCACTGGAGCCATATATACATGTATTTCAAGCATCTGAGCCAAAGGAAAGAAGTGAATGGTTTTATGAATTTTTTAACGTCCTGAAAATAATGGAAACTCCCCAAGAAAGAGCCAACGTTTCCACTTGTATTGGTAATTCCTGCCTCACGGGAGGAGTGGCTCAGGGATCCTATGTGTAGAGAAGAGCTTCTAAGGCCTCCTGGAATGACAGGTTGGTTTTCTTCTTCAGTCAGTCTCAGAAGTCTCGGAGCAAGTCCCTGTCAGACTTCTGGAGAGGGGAGTTTACTTCTGATTTTGGAAGTGAACTTTATATTCTGGGGTTGTTGCAGAGCAATAAAAAAAAGAAGACATTTTATAATAAGTGTGTCTAACCCAGGGAAAAAATGGGTTCCATTTTCACTCTCATCTTAAGCAGCTTTTTAAATTAAATTCTCTTTGGGTTTTCCATTTCCAACTCTGCCAGCAATGCCGCGGGCACCAAACAGACACATAACCTGTATCTCAGACACAATACCCCAAAGCAGTGGAAAATAATTTCTTCAAGAAGGCTAAGAAGTCTTATGTTTTTGTCAAGATTAAGAGCAATGATAATCAGATATTCCACACTCCCTGGCCTTTGCACCCACTGTGCCCTCTGCCTGGAAAGCTTCCCACCTCCTATCTGGCCAATTCTACCCACCCCTCGGGAACAGATTAAATTTCCTCTACTGCCTTCTTAACCTCCCTGTGCAGCTGTCCTTACCTCTTTGACTCCACCCCACTCACTGGATCTATTCACGGATAAACTTGTAGGTGAGTAGACATCTTGGTTGGGCTGTGCTATGGTCTGACAAGTGCCCCCTAAAGGTTCACATGCTAGAGGGCTGGTTGCCAGGCGGGCACTTTGGGGAGGTGGTAGAGCCATTAGGAGGTGGGACCTCGGGGAGGGCTATAGGTCATCGACAGCATGACCTTGAGGGGGATTGTGGGACTCCAGCCTCTTCCTCTTTTTCACTTTACTCTTTGGCTTGTGATATGAGCAGTTTTGCTCGACTACGTGGTCCCACCGTGATGGGCTGCATCACCACAAGTCCAAAGCCATGGGGCAACCCATCATGGTAAGCCAAAATAAGTCATTTAACTCATCATCTCGGGTATTTTGTGGTAATGATGAAAAGCTGATTAATAAAGGTTAGTGTAACAAAGTGCCAAAGACTGGACAGCTCACACAACAGGTATTTATTTTCTTACAGTTCTGGGGGATGGATGTCCAAAGTTAGGGGACTAGCATAATTGTGCTCCAGTAAGAACGCTCTTCATGGTATACAGAGGACCTCCTTTTTGCTGTGCCCTCACACGGCACAGAGAGAGTACAAGTGTGACACTAATTCTATCATGGGGCACCTCCCTCATGACTTCATCTAAATCTAATTACCACCTAAAGTCCCGTCTCCAAATGTCATCACACTGAGGGTGAGGGCTACGATATATGAGTTACAGGGTAGGAACACAACTCAGTCCATCATAGTAGCTGAGTGTGCTACAGTGCAAAAAAATTTTAAATGATGCAGTTTCGTGGCCATACCCCCATAAAGAGTAAGGTCCTTCCTCCTGCCTCAAAGCTTGGCCATCCAACTGACTTTGGCCAAGGAGAGATCAGCAAATGTGACACAGATGCACCTGGAAAAGTCTTGTGCACTAAGGGATTTTTCCACCATCATGTGAATGAATTTCTACATACTTCGTGCTTTTCTTCTGTGTCTCCTTCCCAATGAGCTCCAGGGCTGAGCCACCATGATCTGAAAGACCTGTGTCCACATAGCATTTTGCTATTTATCAAAGGCTTTTGCATCCATTACTTTCTTTCACCAGGATTAAGAACATGGCCTCATTGGAGCTTTGCAGAGCACCTGCATCTGTAAATCACCTTTTTGGGGGGAAAATGCAATTAAGTGGAGGTTAGCACAGAAAAGCCCGGCTGCTTCAGGTGGAAGCTAGCCATACCAGAACCAGGATGGGGCAGGCAAGAGAGACGACAGCATCTGGGGTGTCCAGGCATCCGCTCCATCCCTCCTTCCTGATGCCACCTGCCATTCTTTCTAGGTGTAGTCACTGCTTCTGCTTAGTAGACAGAGTCAGAGCAAGTGGTGACAGGCCAAGTGGGCCAGAAAGAGCCCTCACTGAGGCCCAGGAAACTTGACTTTAATCATGAAGTCTGAAACTGAGAAATGGAAGATATGAATTCTTGTCCCAGGTCTAGTGACTTGGCAGAAGGAGCAAGAACAAAATCCAACCTTTTCACAACTTGTGCTTCTACTCTCCATTTGCCATCTCTCCAGACAGCTGATTTGCTTCCATGTCACGGTGAGCAGTGAGGGACAGAAATCCCATCCTGGGCATAGAGAAGGCTGTGACACTTGTCAGGAGACATAGCCTAGGGGTCCCTGCAGCTCCAACAACCCCATCGCTTCTTCCTCCTACTCGAATTCTATGTCTTTTTTTTTTTTTTTTTTGGTACCGGGGATCGAACTCGGGTCCTTGCGCTTGCGCAGCAGGCAGCGAAACCACTGAGCTAAATCTCCAGCCCTCGAATTCTAGATTTGGAGGAGACACCTGCTTCATCTGACATGGTCTGGAAAAGGTCCTCGTCCCCAGGCTGAGCCTCATCACTATGACAACTGGGGTCAACACAGTATTTCCCATCCCCATAAGAGCAGGACCTCAGGAGTACACTGTCACCTGCTCTCCAACCTGCCAATCTCTGTTTCCCTTTGGCCATCAACATCTCTTGCCTTCTAGGTCACCATGATCACATAATACCACTTTGGAGGGTCTCTTGATAGCTCAGGCTCCCATGGTCCTTTTTGTTCATTTATGCAGAAATTCTGCTTTATATTTAACACAAACAAGTTTCCCAACTTTTCCAACATGGTTTCTTCCCACTGAGAAGAGCGAGAATGAAGGGATTTACAAATAGGACAATGGCAGACCGTGACAGGTGCCAAAGGGGAAGTGAAAAGGCAAGGACAGCAGATGGGATCCTCTGGCAGGGGATGCAGAGGCTCTGAGTGGCATTTCAGCAGGAATGTGGGGTTGGGTGGGCCATCTGCAGAGCAGGGAACAGCATTCCAGGCAAAGGAAATAGCAGGTGCACAGCCCAGAGGCGAGCAAGGTGAAAGGGCGGCCAGTATGTCTGAAGAATCACGGGCAGAAGACGTGGCGAGGTGCAGAGAGGCAGGAGATGGGCGGACACAAGGTGAGTTCCACACGGATGGTACAGAAGCCCACAGCGAGATCTTAAGCAGGGATCCGAGTGGGTCCTGTAACCAGAATGTGAGGTCTGTGAGGGCAGGGCTTGGCTTTCTTCTCTTCCCAGTACCCGAATGAGTCTAGGTAAAGGCCATTCTGACAGTTTCCGCAGAAACGATTATGACAGTTGTGCAGAAGAGAGAAGGAAAGCCAGGCTCCGGCGAATCACTGATGATGATCTGTTCCAGAGCCTACCCTAATACATGCTTATCAAACACAGAAGAATTATTTCATAAGGAAGGAGCAGTGGAGACAGCAGGAGGGAACATCGACTTTTATAAGCTCAATAACTTACATGGACCAGACATCAATTTTGGGGCCGTATTTCTTTCTGGCGAGCAGTTCAGGCGCAGCATAGGCGGGGCTGCCACACTGTGTGCTGAACGGGTCGGAGTAACCCAGGATCCCTGCACAGTTGCTCAACCCAAAGTCTGCAAAGAGGAGAGGACAAATGGACTCCAGATTAGAAAACTGCAGGAATGAAGAGGGACAGGAAAGGGGCTGGGGGTGCAGCAGGAAAGGAAACATTCTCTCAGGCTAACACATAATTTAGCATCCAAAAGGAAATCCAGCAGCTGCAAACCATAACCTCTGGATATGAGTCTCAAGACAAAAGAATGTCAGGTGGTGGTTCCCTTGCCTAACTGGAACATTTTACATCAATCCTCACTGTAAAATCCAGCTAGAGCTAACAGCATGTTGAACCAAAACATATTTCCATCAAACCTTGTAAATGAGTCGTTCAGGGAAAGAGCGGCTGTGCTTTCGAGGACTAAGGCAGGAAGGGAGAACGAGCAGACAGGCTTGGAGGCAGCGGTCTGGCTTCCCAGCGGGGGAAAGGTGAAGGAAGATTGACCTTTCTCTGGCTGGTGGCTGGGGTCACTCTCCGTGACACGCGATCCAGCCATTTACAGCAGACTTCTTTGGCAGAATGTTTGCATTTCATTAAAATCTTTAAAAAAAAATCCCTCCCAAATGTATGCAGCACATATGGAAACTTGAAGAGGGAAAAATATACTGAACAATTTAGGCAATCCTGCAAGTTGGCTGAAAAAACAACGCAGGGAGGCTGGTGATGCCAACCAGACTCAGTGACCTCATGGCGTTGCTTTGTTCCTGGAAGATGAAGGCCCTGGGAAGAAAAGCCCGATGATCTACAGCTCTTCTGGATCTATTACAGCTTTTCTGCTGTGTTTACTTTTGATCTTAAAGATATTGCAGCTGCTGGGCAATTAGAGAGCTGTTAGTGTTGTGCCCTCCTGGTATCTTTCCTCGATCTTTGTTAATCTCAGAATGACAATCACAGTTCATCCTTTGAACTTCAGTGTAAATATTATGATTCTAACCCCAAGAAAGAAGACTCCCAGGTTACAGAGCTTGGTTAGAGATTGGCTCCAAGTCTGGAACAAAACCCTGGTACTTTCTCAACGTGCACTATTTATGTCTAGTTTCATTACTTTCTCACTTCACACTAACGTGTCTCCACCTGCAGAGCTGCAGGAAAGCTCAGTATGGGGAGAGCTGGGAGCCCACAGAGTTGTCCACACCTGATGGCTCAAAATGACACAGCGAGAAGTTTCCAGACAGTCCCCGGATTAAGCTATGCCATGAAACAGCTTTTCTAAAGAAAACCCTATCCAAGGAGAGGTCTAAAATCTCTTTAAACACTGAAAATTACCCAAACTCTTTGGCTCAGACTCTGGAGAAAGAGAGCATACAATAAAGATTGGCAAACCAACCAAACGGGAAAGCTGCATGTTTGAACACTTGACTTTTATGTGTTTTGACAATTTTCTTTTCCCTCTTATCCTGCCTCCTCCTATCTTCCTGTACTCCCTTTCTCTCTCCATCCCTACCCTCAGTGTCTGCCCATTTCCTTTCCTTTTGCAGCAGACTCCATGTACCCTACAGAGAAGTCCTTTGGTCACTGGGCCCTCATCATAGGAGGGGTTATTTGTTATAAAGGGCCTGAGGGACTCTGTCTTCAAACTCCAGTGTCTTAGATGCAGGATCATTTAAGCCAAAGAGAGAGGTATTTTTATAAGGAAAAAAATATCCTATCATGTTTAACATTGGAAGATTGTTTCATTGCTAAGAGCACCTACTACGGGAAAGTGGAAAGTCAGCATCATAGAACAAAGATGACAGTATAGTATTATTGGGAGTGAAATTTTTAAAGGAAACCTTCATGATCTGCCATATTAAAGGCCTAGTCTCATAGGAGCCCTAGAAACTGTATCTCTACTTTTCTAAGATAAAAGTCAAAGACTCTGCTCCTCATGTCAGCAAGATTCCAGAACAGCAAAAGGCCACCTCATTCAATTCCCTCCTTCAGCTCCCCTGACCTGGGTCTCTCAAGAGAGGCAGGGAAAGAAGAGATAAGAGACCAGATCACTCTCCATTGTTCCTGGTAAATTGGAGAACAGAGTATGGCCTTATCTTAAGCCCAGTTTTAAGAAGATAAATTAACAGTGGTTTGGGGAGAGGGGGAAATAGAATCTGCATTTTAAATGACTTGTGCTGATGTAGCCAAAAGGATTTGATTTAAAATACACTGTGAAGAAATAACCAGCATGTTTCACATTTGTAATTGTGATTATTAAAATTTTACACATATGCCTATAATTAGAATCGTGAAACGAGAGAGAAGTTTGCCTCCCAGTAATGTCACATAGGTCTGCCTCAATTAGATTTGGTAAATACATAAGCTAATTATCACTCAGTTTTTCTGAGAGCTGCAAAATGAATCTCAAAAGAACACCCAAGTGTATGCTGCTTTGGAACATATACAAAATCATTCTAAGCTGTGGCTCTTCCTTTTTAAGATTATACTAAATTTACCAAACATGAGATTGCTTTTTTTTGAAGACAGTAAAACATCCTGATTAAATCAAACCTTACTCCTGGTAATTCTAGTGAATGTGAAATGCAGCTTAAGTAGAATTATTTATACCAAATTCTTTCAAAGAAAGAGAAACTATTAAGAAGAAATGATACCAGCTATAATCACCTTTGAAAAACAACTAGGTAATTCCTTTGCAGAAAACGAGGTTCAAAGGCCTTTCAAGTTACAAAAAGACTGGTAATGTAGACCTTTGATCCACATTGCCCAACTCAACACGAGAAAACACATAAGACGCTTAGTCTCCTTCCCTAGAAATCAAGGAAATACAGATTTTGCTAAACAAAATGTAATTCCCAGTTGCTTCCTGAGGTGGCCTAACATCTCTTTTATTTATAGGTGTAAGCTAGGGCTCCTTAGCTTTAGCTGGTCATGAGAAAAATGAGAGCTGTTCTAGCAATTTTGTTCTAGCAATCTTGGCTCCTAACATCTGGTCATTTGCCAATAGACTGGGCCTATTTTGTTCTGTTAAATTGAATTAAGTTTGGCCTAAAGCTGTCTCTGTACATGTTTTAAGTTTGGCCTAAACACTCCACCATACATGGTGAATTGTAATGTAACCTGATGTGTAACAGAGTGTAACTTACTGTTGTAACAAAGAGCTGAGTCTCAGCCAATCAGAAGCAGTTGACTGTTCAAACCTTGTTCATATAAAATGGTTCTGAGCTGGAACCAATTATGCTTACTGTAGCTCATTCCTGTTTTCTGTATGTCACTTCTTTTTCTCTAGATATACATATAATCTATGTGGTGGGCAAGGCCTCTGAACCATTTTTGTTCAGGACTATTGTCGACTTCTAGGATCTCAACGCCAAATAAGGTTTGCAAAATTATATGTGTTGTAATTTCATCTTTTACAGTCCTGATGACTGGGAATACCTATTTAAGTGCCAGTCCAGAGGCTGCCAGCTGAGAGGTGATGACTCTGAGGGATGTGAATAATATAGTTCCTGGTCTCCAAAAACCAACCATCAAACTCAGCACGAGGGGAACTACAGGCTTTACTTTATGTATTAATTTCTTCATATTACTTGTACAACATCTCCTCTAAAAAGATTTATTATTCGGCCAATCTGTGATCTACTTACAAATGCACCTGCTCTTTACAGTGACTGGTTCTTCCAGAATCTTCTGAGCAAACTTCAAATCAACAAAAAAGTCTGTGCTTTTCAACATTACTCACTCCACAGAATAATTTAATAAATGGTCATATGGGGCTATTACTCAAGGAGAAAGAAGAGAGAACAAAAACCAAGGCAGAAAAGTATGGCAAAAGAGAATATAAACAGTATGAGCAGTGCCTGCTGGAAATTTGGAAACTACTAACCTACATACACTGTTCTCTGCTTGACTTACTAGCTTTGTCTACATGACACCCTACCTTTACTGTAATGTGTAACCAGCCTTTATCAAGCCTGTTTTCCTATAATCTGTGCTGTTAGGACAACTCTAACCCAGTCACCTGTAAAACACAAATAACTGTTCCACCCTGCCAGGAAATCTTTTTAAAAATTCTCCATTCCTTACTCCCCATCAGGACACTCCTTCTTTCAGGCCCAAGATCAGGCAACGGTCCTCCAGCAACTAACATGAAATGGTAAAACAACGTAACCAAAAGAAAGTCCTTTGAATGATCTAAGAATCTACTAAGAATAGATTCTTTAAAATGCTTTTGGGAGAAAAAAAATTAGTTTCCTTTTAAATGCTAATCTTCTAATGCTGGGTGTATCCATCACCATGTATCAAGGCTGCTTGGTCCTCTAGCACAGGGCCTGGACACCCTACACCTTTGAGCCTGGCCTGTGCTGGATGCCAGCTGTGATTCCAAGGTACCTAGTAAGTCATCTGAATGATATGTTTTGAAGAGTCTTGAGATGATTTTCAACAGTTGCTTAGCAAAAGCTCCTTCTTGGGTACAAGAGTTAAACTCCCAAAGTCCTATTGATTCTTCTCTTTTTCTGCTAAGATAACTTCTTTCCAAGCCATTGACATAGAAGAAATTTCTCATAGTTGGTGTGAGAAAATAGAGAAAAGAGAAGAATAAAAGTGCTATTTAATATTGGAGCAGAAAAACAATGACCAAGAGCAACTATATCACCAAAACAAAACCAACAAAACCATCTGAATTCTTTCAGAGAAGGAGCCATGAAGTGAATTCACTTAAGGGTTCTGGATTATGAACCAATGATGAATTACACTACTCTGGAGCCTCCTAATTGTACAGATTCTAATGATCCCTCTATGGGCACCACCATTATATCATGGGACTGGGGTGAAGACTGTATTAAAAAGAGAAGGCAAGTTCTATTCTTCCTTATTTTGGACATCCATAAATTCGCTGAAGAGTAGAATAAAAATAAACAGAAGCTATAAGCAGCATTTCTGAGCCAAATTATTTTCCACTATTTTTAAGCAATGATCTTGTTAATCTAACTAAATATCACTTCCATTTGAACTTAAGGAGAAGCTGAAGTTTAATCCAAAGAAACATGTTACAAACAAATACTTATTTGGAGCTATCAAATTCATTTCCTAATCAAGTTACGGCATTTTCACCTTTCTAATTATGTTTAAATTATTATTTAAGTAAGCTATTAAATTACTGCTAAAATTAGCTTTCATTTTCAAAACTATTATTGAATATTAGACACAAAAGAAGGTAACCTAGAAGTTTGATTTGATATAGACCAGGGATAATTTTTAAGGTTGAGAACTGACAACACAACACTTAAAAGATAATCTTGCTTAAAAAAAAAAAAGGGGTCATACCAATCAGCTTGATATTATTGTCTTCATCTAGTAGCAAATTTTCTATCTTCAAGTCTCTGAAATAAACAAAACCACATAACATTTCAGATAAGCACTTGAAACAGCGGCATGACATTTTGCTTCTAAAAGGAAATGAACTGCTTTAGAGCCACTTTTCACCAACCCATAAAGCTTTTTGCTAAAACTCACTCAACCATTAAGTAAATATTTATAAGACATGATGGAATTAATTATCATCAACTATAAAAGCTAACAAAGGATTTCAGAGAAGACTAAGCAAGAGTGCAGAAGAAATCCTGAAAAGTTTCCAGCTGTGGGACCCACACTGGAACTGGAAGTTAAAGGGCAGAGGTTAGAAGAAAGTAGAACACACCATGAAAAACAGGGGCTGTCTGAGCAAGAAAGGGATGCAAGTGTGGCCGAGGGTTTGTGACACTGTGAGCAACATCAACCAGCATCAGGAGCAGATTTGGGGAAGCAATTCCAAAAAACTGGAAGTGAATTTATCAGTTCTATGACCTCCATGTTGGAGCTCAAGTGTAGTGACAAATTGGCAGGTGATGATATATTAATTTCTTGAGCAAGTGGATATTATCAGGGGCATAATAATAGATTCCAGAGATGTCACAGCCATCATTCTTGGTGTTGTGCTCAAGTATATGTTAACCTGACATGGCCAAAGGAAGTGGAGTTTACAGATAAAATGAAGATTGTTAATCAGACAAAAGGTGATAACAATGACCGATACTGAAGCGACAAAAGGTAATGGAAGGGAGCAAAGCAGTCAGAGTCACACTGAGTGTGAGGTGGCTGTGGTGTCTGTTAGTCAATTATAAGCTCCTTGCGGGGAGAAAACGTGTCCCATTGTTACCACCGCTCCCCACATCCCACATACTCAGCAAACAAAAAGTCTAGTTTGCCAAAGAGATCACTTAGAATTTCAGACACAAAATATATATCTGGGCAAAAATACACATGTGGGCAAAAGAATATATGTGGTCATCAAAGTCATCTGGGTCCACAATTAGAAACCCTGCATCTTGATAGCCTGTCAACTTAGACACGCCTTGAATATTAATTAGGTAAGAATATTCTCTCTTCTGTTTAATATACATTTTTTTTTTTTAAATCTCGTCCATTGTTTTGAAACACTCTTTTCTTGGTCAGGCTTTTATTTTCCTACATTTGAATAGAGAGATGGACAATATATATGCTCTTTTTCTTCTTGTCTCCATTGTAGGGAACTGAACAGCATAATTGTGATTAAAAAAAAAAATGGAACTGATATACCATATCAATGTCTAGAAACAACAGGAAAGTACTTTTGCCAGGACTACCTGGGGTAAATAGGACAGCAGTGTCCCATTTGCTTTTTAGCAGTGTCCCAGTTGCTTCAAAGCTTGGTCTCGTCCATCCTGTTTCACAAGAGAAGCCAGATATCTGGATTTTGTCTCAATTTTTAAATGCTGATAGCAAACTGACATTTAAAACAATAACAACACTATGTGGGCCAACCTTCCAGGCAAAATGTGGCCTGCCAAGTACCAGTTTTCAAATGCACTATAGGTAGAAGCTGAGGCTTTGAGAGGACACAAGATTATTCAGAGAGAGAATGGGAGAAACAAGACCACGGACCGCATGCAACTGGGAAAGGGCCATTCACAGTGGACTGGAAAGGAACCGCTGGAGGCAGGGAAAACCAGGGAGGCTGTTCTCGCGGGAACGCTCCAGGGTGAGATTTCCGGGCAGGAAGAAGAACTAAGGAGTCAAATGGCAAGCTCTACGAAGTATCCAGGGCGGGCTGTTGGTAGCCTTTGGGCTAGACACTGGGATGCAAAGGTAGACCTGCGCCAAAACGTGCAGCTGGGAAAGGGAAATGGATACTCCCCATCTAATGCTCTCACAATCAGTTCAAATGGAACAGTACACAGTTCACTTCAAAACGATGTCTGCCTTTAAAAGGCATCGCGTAAGTCTGATATAAAGTAGTCCCAAAGATAAGGTGGCCCCCACCTCTTTTTCCAATAGGAAGACCTTGCCCCTTAGAAATGAGGTTTTGGAAAAATACAGATATATAATATTTAGAAATGAAATAGAATTATCAAGTGATTGTCACATATCTGTAAAGCTGCATCATCATCCTATGTAAGACCATATACTAAAATGTTGGCCTAATTCATTTTAGAAATGTTTCCACGCCTTCACATTTCATGAAAAATTTTATTCAAATGCATTAAGGCAGAACCAAGATGGTTCTTTGAGTTACTATACAACATTTCCAGGGGGACGCAATCTGTCCACTGGGCTATGGTTTGTGATGAGCACTTTTTGAATCTATATGTGATACACTTGCTAGGAATCTTATTCCAAACCATAAGCGCCCATTTAAAATCTCTCTAACCCTCGCTGAATTGTTTTCATTCTCTGAAATTGTTGCAACTGTGAGGCCATAGTTCTAGAAATTGTGATTAAAGCCACATAAAGTGGCTTTGGTTCCTTTCTGCCAAATTCTAGACATCTCGGGTGACCTGTAGAGTCAAGTCAAGGTTAATGTGTGCTGGTTAATCTTGACTGTCCGCTTCATTGGATTACGAGACTCCTGGGGAGGTGATTAGATTGTGAAACCACCAACCTTCCTAATGGATTAACCATTAATGACTCCATAGCAGAATAGGCTATGGGAGGAAGGGCTCCGTTGGAGGAAGTGAGTTATGCAGGTGTGACTTTGGAGATGATACGTGGCCCTAGTCCCTTCTCGGGGCGCTTCTCCTGCTCTCTGCTTCTCCAATACCATGAGTTGAGCCCCTTCCCTGTACCATATCCTTTCAGCACATTTTTGCCTTGGACCCAACCAACCATTGGCTGAAACCACTGTCAGATATCTTGGCCCAGGAACAAAAAGCTGACCAACACAATGTGAATGTATCTTCTCCAATTCATATTTTGTTGTTGAAAATAAAGCAACTGAAATTGTGCCTCCGTAACATGAAAGATTTGCGAGGACTCACTCTTTAAGGCTCACTCAACTCTTTTCTGAAGATAATTAAGACATCATATAAGCCTGACTTCTATTCAAACATATGGCATAATTTCAAAACACATGCACATACACACACAAAACACTGCCAGCAACAGCCCAAACTGTGAGTCTGTAAAAACTGATTATATAGCAGTAGCACTATTTAAATCTAACACAAGGCCACAGTTTGTTTCAAGTGAAACTAAGCCTCTTTGCCTGGGAAGAATAGAAGTCACACTAAGTCGTTAAAGAGAAATTTGGTTCAGAACAAATATTTTTGAGAAAAACAGATGAAAAAGGCATGGTAAAATAAAGCAATTGCCAAGAATAATAAAACTAAAACAGTGTGATTCTAGGGCCACAAAAGCCTAGAGAACAAATGATTAGGAAAATGATATAAATGAAAGACTGAAAATAAGAGAAAATGCAACAGAAAAAAATCTACTTTTGAAATCGGGGAAATGTCATAAAACCAGGGGAGGGAGTATAAAAATACAATTATTAGGAAAAATGAGAAAAATAAGTTCAAAAGCCACCATCTTCCCACCCACTGCATCCCAAAGCAAGCAACCCCCAACACTTACGAAAAATGGATAGAACAAGCTTAGTCGACTGGAGGTGTTTGCCCATATATTAGCTTTTTGTCCAGGTCACTGAAAGATCTCAGTGGTAACAATCTGTTTTAAGGTTCCATTATTGGTTAACGGAAAGTTCCACTACATTAGTCTCTGTGCATGTGATCAGTATACTTCACACTGCCAAATGAAAGAGCCATTCAGTCTCTTTTGGCTTTCTTTATTTCCTCCTGCTTTGTCTTTTAAAATATATCTGAAAGAAGGGGAGGACTGCTTTCCCTCTCATGCTTCAGGGAAAAAGTCTCTAAAGTCTAATTTTGTTGGGGCTTGGGTTTTTTGAGACACTCTCACTATGTAGCTCAGGCTGGCCTCGAACTCATGGCAATCCTGCCTTAGCCTCCCATGTGCTAGCATTACAGGTCTATGTCACTAGATCTAATTAAAGTTTAATTTTTAAGGGCCGGGGATTTAGCTCAGTGGTTTCGCCGCCTGCCCTGCAAGCGCAAGGACCCAAGTTCGATCCCTGGTACCAAAAAAAAAAGTTTAATTTTTAAAAGTCACTTTCACCTAGGTACAGTCAGCCCTCTGTTATCTGTGGGTTCTGCATCCTCAAATTCAACCAAGCTCAGATCAAAACTATTCATGCAGGAAAATTTCATCTGTACAGAACTTTTTTCTTTGTCATTACACAGTACTGCACAGCAAGTATTTAATAGCATCTGCAGTGGGTTAGGTATTATAAGTAATCTAGAGATGATTTAAGGTATATGGAAGAATTTGCATAGGCTACATGGGCCATTTTATATAAGGGACACCTGTGGGGAGTGCTGTCCATGGGAGGTCCTAGAACTAATTCCTTGCAGATTGCATACTGCAGGGAAGGCAGTATTTACTCTAATGAGTGGAAAACGTGTGGACACAAATGTTTATAGCAGCTTTATTCATAATTTCCCCTAACTGGAAGCACCCAAGATGTTCTTGAGTAGGAAAATGGAGAAACAAACTGTGTTATACTGGAATGTTCCACAAGAAGAAGAAAGGAGGACACAATAGAAAGATGAGTGGCTGCCAGAAGCTGGAAGTGGGGGAAATGGGATGAAGAAGTGGACAGACGCACAGGATTTCTAGGGTTTGAAATTATTTGTTACAATTGTGAACTGGTGGCTGTAGAACACCATTCATATGTCAAAACCCATAAAAATGCACATCACAGAATGAACCTTAGTGTAAACTACTGACCTTGGGGAAGATTAATATATCCCTATTGATTCATCAATTGAAATAAATAACTACACTAACCAAGGAGAACACAGGGTAGAAGGAAAGTATGAGGGAACTCTCTGCAGTTTCTATGCAATTATTTAAACCTAAAACTACTCTAAACAAGTCTATTAATTTTTGTTAAATATCTTGTAGATATTTTCCCTTTCCTCCGAGAATAGTACCAAGAATGCTGGGGCTA